TTAGGGTAAATCCTAGCCCTAAACCCTAAATCTTGAAACTCCAATTACCTGCAGTTTAGTGGGAACTACCCTTGAAGTAACGTGTAGAGCCCATAGAACTGTAGGTAATTGGGGTTACACGTAAACCTTACACCCCAAAATCCTAAGGCCTAAACCCTAAATCCTGAAACCCCAAAACCTTAAACCCTAATCCCTGAATCCTGAGCCCAAAGCTCTCAAAACCTTAAACCCGATCCCTCCGGCTAAAGGACTCTGAGTCCAGGGCTGTCTCCAAAGCTCATGGCCCCTGCAGAAGCTGGTAGTGCTCATTTTGGCTAAACCCTAAACCCTAAACCCTAAACCCTAAACCCTAAACCCTAAACCCTAAACTGCAGAAGCTGGTAGTGCTCATGTTGGGCTTCTGAGCCTCTCTAAGTTTCTTTGATCCTTCGGCGTGTGCGACTAGGGTGCTTGCAGGCTCTTATCTTGTTTTTGTTTAGGGTTTAGGGTTTAGGGTTTAGGGTTTAGGGTTTAGGGTTCAGGGTTTAGGGTTTAGGGTTTAGGGTTTAGGGTTTAGGGTTTAGGGTTTAGGGTTTTATGACCGCAGAGATCTTTGCCGTAAGGCCAGGAGCGAAAACAGTGATGTCCCTCGCGCTCTTGCTGTAGGGTGTCGCGCCCAGGGCTAGGATGTTCCCACTTTATACAAACAGTCCTTGATAGGGATTATAGTACCCCTATTATAATCCCTACTAAGGACTGATAGTATAAGCGAAACATCCCAAGTCTAGGGTTTGTAGGGTTTAGGGGTTCATTCGGAGGAGAGTGGCAAGTACCGGGTCTGCTTCGAGAAGGCCTATGGCAATGACATGGCCGGGTGCTAAGCGTGGCGGTGGGTTTGCCTCGATCTGATTGCCTTAGATCGCATACGCAGCACCTACCGAGCACTGTCACCAAGACCCTAAACCCTAACCCCTGAACCCCCCTGACCCCTAAACCCGAAAGCCCCTAAACCCCTAAGCCCTTAACCGCAAACCCTGAACCCTGATGCATGCCAGGGCTTAGCACCCTAAACCCTAAGCCCTAAGCCCTAAACCCTAAACCCTAAACCCTAAACCCTCCGACTCCCCCAGGTCGTTGGCGTGGGCGAGCGGATTGTTCTGCGGGTCGCCTCGGTTCCTGGCGCAGGTTCCCTGGGAAGCTGCACCTCAGGGCCTGTGGCTTTAGGGAAGGGTTTAGGGTTTTGGGTTTTGGGTTTTGGGTTTTGCGTTTTGGGCTTAGGGTCTAGGGTCTAGGGTTTAGGGTTTGGGGTTTTGGGGTTTTGGGTTTGCGGTGTAGGGTTTAGGGCTTCCAGGCTTTTAGGGTTTGGGGCTTGAAGGTTTTTGTTGGCTTTCGTGGTTTTAGGGTGTATATATGCCCTCATGAATCGCATGATCACCGTGATGATCAGTACTGGAAGTAGCCCGATACCATAAACGGCACACAGTAAGATTGTGATTATGACTCCTTGGGAAGCAGCTGGGGTATTTGCTAGATTCTTCCCTTCTTTGGGTCTAAGATGATCAGATTTCGGCGTCATTTTCCAGAGGTTTTACAGGGCCAACCGAGTGCCAATAGATATCATGCTCAGTGCTGCCTCGGCCGGCTCCTACATCCTTAGGACCATAAACCCTGAACCTCCTTGAAGCGCGGTTAGGGTTTAGGGTTGAGGGGTTTCGGGTTTACGGTTTCAGGGTCTGTTTCAGGCTTTGCAGGGCTGCAGTATCCTGTGCTGCTGCTTCGCGCAGTTCTTTCGGCTTCCCAGCAAGCCGCACTAAGTCAGGCCATGGATTTGACCAGCCTCTTGGCAAAGGGTTCACACTTCACAGTCTAGGGTACAGGGGTTTAAAGGGGGTTCCACTCCCCAAGCCCCAAACCATTCTTTGTGCCCTAAACCCTAAACCCTAAACCCTAAACCCTAAACCCTAAACCCTAAGTTGTTGGCCTTCAAGGGTTCTTGGGGTTTGGAGTTCCGGGGCCCAGTTCGGGTCCTTTCATGTAGAGCACGGAATCCTACGAACCAACCCCTCCCTAAAACCTAAAACCAACACCCTGGAACTTAAGCTCTCAAACCTCAACCCTAAACCCTAAACCCTAAACCCTAAAAACCTATAAGCCCTAACGACACCCAAATCTTCAGCCCGGTCCCTGCCACGGCTCACCCTCATCCCTACCTGCGATGTTCAAAAAGGAGGTTTAGGCAACCCTAAACCCTAAACCCTTAACCCTAAACCCTAAACCCTAAACCCTAAACCCTAAACCCTAAACCCTAAACCCTAAACCCTAAACCCTAAACCCTAAACTAAAACTCTAAAATAAGCCCTAAACCCTAAACATCTAGGGCGTCAAGAGCTCCCACGCCAAAGGCCCGGATGGCTCGCATGCTGGGGCTTGTCCTGCCAAGCCTCGTTTGGAGCTTCGCCGCTCTTCAGGCTGGGGCTTCTTAGAGTTTCGGGGCTTAGGGTTTAGGGTTTGGGGTTTGGGGTTTAGGGTTTGGGGTTTAGGGTTAGGGTGCTTGGCTTAGGGTTAGGGTCTTGTGGTTTGGGGTTGGGGATTTAGGGTTGGTGGTTTAGGGTTTGGGGTTTAGGGCGTGGGGTTGTGTGGTTCAGGAGTCAGGATAACCCTAAACCTTGCAATTTCGAAGTTGAGTGTTGCTTGGTGTCTCCTGGCGCTCCCTGTAGTTTCATGGGCAACTTTTTTGGGGAGAGGGCTTGCTCTCTGGAAAACCCCCAATAAGCGATTAGGGTGTAGAGTTTGGGGCTAGAGTTGAGGAATACCTCAGGATGCCCTCAATCAAGGGCACACCTGTAAACCCTAAAGACCCTAAAATGTCTAAACTGTACACAGCCCTAAGCAACCCTGAACAATCCGAAGCCCTAGCCCATAAAAAAGCCCGAAGCGCTAAACCCTAAACCCTGAACCTGAAACCCCCGCCCCTCACCGTCCCGGACCCTAAACCCTAAACCATCACTAAACCCTAAACCCTAAACCCTGTTAAGCTCATGTAAAATCCCCCCTCTTGAAATCAGATGAACGCCATGGAGCCACGAAAGAAAGCGTAAACCAGCTTCAACTGTTCAGTGTGTCGGGTGGAGGAGCGGAACTTCACGATAGAAGCTGCAACACTAGGGTTTAGGGTTTAGTGTTTAGAGTTTAATTATATAGTGTTTAGGGAACATGTCGAAACCACCTCCATACCCAAAACCTCTTGTGGGAGGTATGTCCTGCGGTTGCTGAGACCCTCGCGCGTGTGGGGGCGCAGGCAGGTGCCGATCCAAAAGTCGTGTCTGTCAGGATTTGGCTTCGGATGCTTGCGGCTTAGGATTCTGGGGTTTAGGGGTTCAGGGTTTAGGGTTGGGTGCCGGGTTTCCGGGCTTAGTTCGGCTTTGGGAGGGTTCCAGGGTTCAAGGGTTCAGGCTTTAGAGTCATGGTTCTTCGTGGCTTACAAGGATGCTGTGTGTGTGTTCTATTGCGTTCAGGCTCCCTGCCCCCCTTCCCCCCTCCCAACTGTAAACCCTGAACCTCGGCTTTCGCTCTCCTTCGTTGAGGACATGATGCGGCGTGCTGCGGCAGGACGCGTGCGGAGAGAGTGCAAACTAGGCATTCCTTGGTTTGAGGGATCAGGGTTGAGAGTTTAGAGTTTGATTGTATTCTGCTTGGGAAGTATGCTTCCTGTTGCGTTTATGGTTATTGCGTTTCTAAGGGGAGTCTAGTTAGGTTGGGTTGGGGGATGAGAGTCAAGGTTCAGGGGTTTGGGTGTGAGGTTACCTAAAACTTTTGGGTGTAGGGTTGCTTCAGGCACAGGACTTGGGATTGGGGCTTTCAGTGGTTGAGGTTAGCGTAGTTTGGCTAAGGGTTGTTTGGGGCTTCGGGGGCACTCCAGGTTTGGGGTCTAGAGTGGCTCAAAACTTAGGGTGAGGGTTTAGGGTTTAGGGCGAGGGTTTAGGGTTTAGGGTGAGGGTTTAGGGTTCAGGGTGAGGGTTTCGGGTTTTAGGGTTTAGGGTTTTAGGGCTTAGGGTTTACGGTTTATAGGGGGTTTTCAGGACCCGACACTTCGCGCGAGATCTCATCCTCTGGGGCTGTTCAGAACCCGCACGCGGCAGATCCGAGGCGTCCGAAGCCGAGTCCTAAACCGTGTTCTTCAAACTCCTAAATTAATCACTAAACCCTAAACCCTGAACCCTGAACCCTAAACCCTAAACCCAAAACCCTAAACCCTAAACCCCAAGCCGTAAACCCTAAACCCTAAACCCTTCACCCTAAACCCTAAACCCTAAACCCTAACCCGAAACCCTAAACCCTAAACCCTAAACCCTAAACCCTAAACCCTAAACCCTAGACCCTAACCCTAAACCCCAAGCCCTATACCGTATAGAGCCTATGCCCATAACCGCGTTGTATGAAACAGGGTTTGTATCTTCTGTATTGCTCAAACCCTAAAGCCCTGCAAGCTGGTGGGTGACTGTTCAACCTGAAATATGCCGACTTGAAGTTACTTACGTTGGGTTTAGGGTTTAGGGTTTAGGGTTTAGGGTTCAGGGTTTAGTCTCCAGGCTTCAGGGTTTAGGGTTCAGGGTTCAGTGTTTAGGGTTTAGGGTTGCGGGTGTAGGGTTTAGCGTGTTTAGGATGAACATTTCGGTGCCATCCTTATGACAAGAGAACTGGTGCCGTCTACTTTGCAGCCTGCACTTTGAGCATTCGTCGTCCACATACTGATATGCGATCGCCCATGGGCACCAAATAAAAGCACAACTCCCGAGCAAGCTTCCGGACGATTTTGCACATCGCTTAAGGACTGTGGTTGCCGAATGTCACGTGAGCCTACCACAAAAGTCTGCCACCATCACTGAGTCGAAGTCCGCAACGTTTAGGCCCTTCACATGCTTGATGATACCAACAGTTTCGCACATTAACTTTCGCGCCCATTCTGCTGACTCTTGTTTGTGTGCCCTTCCCATTCGACCATTGCATCCGACAACAATTACATGGAGTCTTCCAAGGATTTTTCGGCAGCAACAACAGCGCGATTTCCTGCGGCTCTCCAAGCTGGAAGCGCCACTACTACGACTATTTTGGCCTATGGCGCCCTGCTGAGTGAGGCTTCCAGTCGACTGACATTTCCCCATTTGACGAATTTTCGGTATGTTCGGATTCGAGGGTACCGCCGAGTCTTTGCCCAACCCCACCTCTTTCTGCTGCAACAAGGACTCATCGGACGTCCAGGCGACACCACATTGAGATTGGCCAGTCTGTCGGCAGAACCTTGTCCCAAAAAACCAGAGTCGTCCTTTGTAGTGGCAGCCTTTGACGTACAGTTGGACGACGAGCAACGGGCCGCCTTTGTTCAACGAGAAGCATCCTATGACATTGTCGCGGTTCCCTATTTTCCATTGGAACCACTACGACCAGTGAAAGTGGAGAAGGAGAAGGAGGAGGAAGAGCATCCAGCGCCCGACGGAATGGGCGTGATTTGTTTGGCGTCGGCGGATGACCGTCAGCCTCCCCAGGTTTTGGCACAGTTGGCAAAGGATCATGCGAATCTCGCCTTTCCCGGTACCATTTGGCATTGGCCTCATGATTCTGGTTTGTTGCCCGCCAACATTTACTTGCGACATTGTTTGTTGGCAGTGGAAAAAGCAGCCGACGCCTCTGTGGACTCTTTGGTTGTAGAAGGAGCCAGGGTTGCCCGGGACTCCTTCTGGCATGATACGTATCTGGCCGATCGAACTACAACCCTGGCCGAATATCTGAGTGACTCGACCATCTATCAAGAGGTGATGGAAAGTCGACCTCCACCCCATTTGGCCACGCGCTTTGGTGGATGAAGCTGCTTCTCATTCACGTAATTCACGTATCACTAAGGTGAGCGAGAAGCAGAGTCTGAGAGAACTGATGCTACGACCAGGGTGTCATTGTCATGGCACCATGGTGCTGATCGGCGGCATTGAAAAAACAGGTTGCCAAGGAGTCACGCTCCAAGAAGGGTCACGGAAGCTCAGGTCGAGGGGGTGGTCATGCAGGTCTACAGGGTGGGGCCCCCTAGTTATAAGTAGAGTTATAAGGGCCCTAAATTGGGTTATAAGGACCCTAAGTTAGGTTATAAGTCCCTTAACTACAGTTAGTATAGTAAGGGGGCCCCGATGATGCCGGGCGGTCAGGGGTGAGGGGTGAATCAGGGACCAGGGCAAAATCTTGGGGCTCGTAGTATTGCAGGTTTCAGGTTTCCCCAAACTTACCCCTAAACCCCTAAACCCTAAACCCTAAACCCCCATAGAAGCCTTCAGGCATAACCCTTAGCCTTAACCTCAGACCCTAAAGTGCGGGAGGCCTCAGACCATCTCGCAAGTCCTAGTCCTCACCAACTCGGGCAGGAGAGGCGGGAGACCAGGGGGCTTTAGGGTTTAGCGTTTAGGGTTTAGGGGATTTAGGGTGTAGGGGTTAGGGGTTTAAGGGTTAGGGTATTATGCCGGGATTTAGGGTTTAGGGTTTAGAGGGTTGAGGGTTTAGGGTGTTTGGGGTGTAGAGTTTATGGCGTAGGTTTATAGGTTTGGGTTTAGGTTTCTCTCATGCAGGGTTATGTTGGACAGAACTAGGGGTTGTAGATTTGGTAGGGTTGTGGCCGAAACGTGATAGGGTTGTGGCCGAAACGTGACAAGCAGGGCTTATACTGTTAAGTTTCGTTATCACAAACCCCTTTGGGCTTCTGTATAGCATCTAGGCCGAGTCGTGCCAACAAGGGTTTAAGGCGTCCAGATGCTTCTGACACGAGGCTTGCAGGATTTTGGGGCTTAGACGCGTATAGGGTTCATGGCGTCCTGTAGGGTTCAGGGTTTCGGGCTTAGGGTTTAGGGTGTTTGTCGGGCTTTCCGGGTTTTCTGGGACTTGTAGCTTTCAATGGGACATTCCAAATCCTGAGGGGCCCTAAAACCCTAAACCCTTAAACCTTACAAACCCTTGAACCCTTAAAACCCTTGAAACCCTTAAGACCCTTAAAACCCTTCCACCCTTAAAACCCATAAAACCCTTAAAGCCCTTAAAACCTTTGAACCCTTAAAACCCTGAAAACCCTTAAAACCCTTAAACCCCTTAAAACCCTTAAAACCCCTAAACAGCCTTTCTCCCAAATGAGTCAACAAGGCATGTCAGAGAAGTTGCTGGCGGAGCTGCGGAAGCTGCTTTCCCTGCGCCCCGGCTCTACATGGGGTGGTTCTCTTTCGGGGTTTAGAAGGTGCCGTACTATGTAGGGGACTGGAAAAAGAGACCCTATAAGTTAGAGAACTGCCCGCATGATGCGGCTGCTGGGGCCTCTGTAGTTGCAGCATATATGTTTTACAGGCAAAGGTGCCATACGCCGTCAAACAGCTCAAAGTCGGTATTCCGGTAAACTTTCGACGCCCCCCCACCCCGAAAGGGAGGGTTGGGATGCATCCAAACAGAACTAGGAGTCAGGAGGCGTTCGTGGGTTTAGAACCCTGAACCGCTCTGTTCTCATCTACAGTAGCCCCATATGGTGGCGCAAAAACGGACCCAGCTAGAGAATCCAACATATCCTTAAAAAGAAGAGGACTATACTTCTAAGGGTCTCTGGAGGGGAAACCCTTCAGGGCCCAAGTAAATACTGTACAGGTTCATGGACCCTTTGGTTACTTAGGTACCTTAGAGGGCATATGATGATTGTATATACCCTTCCAAAAGTAGGAAGAGAAAAGGAACTACATCTTAACCATCGGGTATATTTCGCTGCCCTAAGCGTACGTCGTTTAGTCTAGGTCAACCCTCACCCTATAAACTCTATAGACCCCATACATCCCATAGACCCTACAAAGCCTATAAACACTAGCAACCATATACCCCTGCAGACCCCATAAACCCCCTAAACCCCAATTTTTTAAAGCCCTAGAAGCCCTAAACACCCTGAACACCCTAAACACTCAAAGCCCTAGAAACCCTAAACTCTCTAAACCCTAAAAACCTGGAAGCCTGAGCGAAGGCCGGTGGTGAAAGTGGAAGGCCTCAACGCGCAGGACTTTGCCACCGAGGTCTTTTGGCACCCAAGGTAGAGCTAGGGTTTGTTAGTAGGGTTTAGGCATCTCCACCGGTTTAGGGTTTAGGGTTTAGGGTTTAGGGTTTAGGGTTTAGGGTTTAGGGTTGCATGAATGTCGCACGATACAGTGGCGAAATGTGCGTGGTCTCATAAGGCAGATCTCGAGAGCCAGAGCCGCCTCCCGATGTCCGAGCGGCCCTGCTGCAAGCAGGGGGCCTTGAGTGTTGGGGCACTAGGGTTACGGGGTTCAGGGTTTAGGGTTTAGGGTTTAGGATTTAGGGTTTAGGGTTTAGGGTTTAGGGTTCAGGGATTAGGGTTTAGGATTTAGGGTTTAGGGTTGAAGTTTCTCGGGCAGGCTGCCGGGACGGTTGTCAAACACGCCCAGAGCCTTTGGTTTGGGGGGGGGGGGGTTCCATGTCGTTGATAAAGTATCAGGTACCAGAAGAAGCCCCTGAGCCTTAAACGCGCGCGAATGCACTTGCGACTCAACGCGACCGAGGGTTCAGATGTAACAACGCGTCAAATCCTGCGTCCAGCTGCATCACACTAGATAGTCGCTTTCCCGCCCTTTGTAACGCCCAAGCAGTCCTCTTCTTCCATGACTTTTTGACCCCACGCCCATGGCTTCTGAGACGGGCTTTCTGCGGCTAGAGGAGTGTAGGGGTTGAAGCTTAAAGGAGTTATCTTGGTACTTTTCCGTCCAGACCTGCCAGGAAAGAAAAGCAAGACTGGCACAGGCCTGGGATTGGTTCCGCTCCCCACCGAAGTTCTGCCAAGGGTTTAGGGTTTAGGGTTTAGGGTTTAGGGTTTAGGGTTTAGGGTTTAGGGTTAGGGTTTAGGGTTTAGCACACGGTTGATCTACTTAATCCTTATAGCGAAGATTCGGTAGCAGAAGCTAGGCCTTTCACATACAGAGCGGCCCCGGAAATCCCGAAGCCCGGGCCTCACAGTCGAGAGCATGGGTCTAGAATAGAAGCGATCAACTCATGGCTGGGCTTGTCGTGCGCTTTTTCTTACCTCGCCTTTAGTTGAACTTTAGGCTTCTTGGGTTTCCTGATTTAGTAGGAATATTCAAGTTGAACCTTTTTCCCCCTGGGTTATTGGAGAAGCAAGTTTTTCGTTTCATAGAAGGTAGTTGAAGGCAAGTATCAAGGAGTCATAGTGTCTACACACATCTTTGAACACTTCAGCCCCTGTCTACGGGGTGGGGCCCCCTTACTATACTAACTGTAGTTAAGGGACTTATGGGCTAACTTAGGGTCCTTATAACCCAATTTAGGGGCCTTATAACTCTACTTATAACTAGGGGGCCCCACCCTGTATGACATGGAGCACTCATGTCTTCGTTCGTCTGAATTATGGCTTGGGGCCCCCTCGGCTCTTGGCAGAGTTAGTCCTGACCCCCCGGAAACCCGAAAAGCTCTAGGTTTTGGGGTCTAGGGCTGACTCTAGACCTTCCATAAGCCATGAAACTCCTAAACCGCCTACACCCTGAACCCTAAACCCTAAATCCTAAACCCTGAACCCTAAACCCCTAAACCCGTAAACCCTATAAAGCCTAAAGCCTAAACCCCCAAACCCCAACCCCAAACCCCAAACCCTAAACCCTAAACCCTAAACGCTAAACCCTGAACCCTCAGATTGGCTTCCCCCTCTGCAACTGCGGTGGCCGATCCGGCCCTCGCCTGCTCCATCGGACACAAGGAGATGTGGAAGTGCCTTTGGCACCAGGGTTTAGGGTTTAGGGTTTAGGGTTTAGGGTTTAGGGTTAGGGTTTAGGGTTTAGGGTTTAGGGTGTTAGGATTTATACAGTGTTTAGGAGGAAGGCTTGGGGTTTAGGACTTGTGCTCCTAGCGAACCAGCTGTTGCCAAGCACCCAGGATTTAGGGTTTTGAGTTTTGGGTTTCGGGGTGTAGGGTTTAGGATTTAGGTTTTGTCTTTCGAGTCCGGGTTGAGAGTTCAAAGCTCAAGGTGGTGGCTAAGGGTTTCAGTGATGAGCCTGAACCCACAACCCGAAACCGGAAACCCTACGCCATAAGCCCTAAAGTTTGGGGCTTAGGGTTTAGGGTTCAGGAGACAAGGTTTGTGCCGATGTACACAACATCCAGCCGCGCCGCGCGCGTAGCTTCTAAGCTTTCGGCAGATCGGCCTGCCTCAAGGACGCACTGCCATGCAGACCCCAATGCCCTAAACACCCTGAACCCTAACGCCCTAGCCCTAAACCCTGAACCCTAAAGCCCTAAACCCTAAACCCTAAGCCCTAAATCCTGAACCCTAAAGCCCTAAACCCTGAACCGAAACTAGACCCCAAAGCCTAAACCCTCAACCCCTAAACCTTCGACTCTCAAGTTCAGGCTGCGAGCCCCTGAACCCTAAACCACTACCCTAAACCCTATAAACACCTAAACACCTAAACACCTAAACACCTAAACCCTAAACCCTAAACCCTAAACCCTAAACCCTAAACCCTAAACCCTAAACCCTAAACCCTAAACCCTAAACCCTAAACCCTAAACCCTAAACCCTAAACCCTAGCCAGCCTCCTTGTAAGGCTGGCCGCGAATGCATCCGCCTGGACTGTCATCCTCGAGGATGCCGCGTAGCTGCACCTGAGCACCTTAAGGGTTTAGGGCTTAGGGCTTAGGGCTTAGGGTTTAGGGTTTAGGGTTTAGGGTTTAGGGTTTAGGGCTGCTAAGTTTGAACCTCTACACTCTGTGATCCTAACCCCTAATACCCTACAGTTTTGGGCTGAGCGTTTAGTAGGGTTTAGTAAGGTTTAGT